AACTTGAGGGTTCAATGATTATTAATGTTGATCTTCAATGATTATTAATGAAATGAAAAAAAAAAAAAAAAAAAGCAGCCATTTATTTGGGTGATATAAGCGTAACTTTTTAGGTATAAAATAAACAAACGCCGCCCTAGTCAGTCAATCAATTACTAAGATTATTACTCAATGTAGACTGGATGCGATGAACTGATTGGANTTTTTAAATTATTGAAGTTTCTATTATATGATCACATAGCATGATTATATAGTATATTGTTTATTAATAGCATGATTATATAGGCGGTAATTGATATATTTCTTATTGTTTATTAATTCTGTAAGTAATTGTAATGATTTTTGGTATATTTTCTTTTTTACTTTTTTTTTTTTTTTGGGTTAATTTCGTGTGTCTAATAAATGGGTCAAGTCAATAGTATGGGAAGATTGATTAGCTACACTTATGTAGAATCTGATACAAAAAGGTTGTATTGTGTGCGGTGATGATAATAACCAATAAGATTATATTGTGGAATCAATACAAGGGGTAAAGTTGAAAACAAGTTCAATATATACAAAAATAAATTACATTTAAACACTAGTTCATTGTATTACATAATGTTTTTTAGATTTATTTTTCATAATAACATCGTAGATTGAAAATATGTATTTGGTAATTGGCTTGATTGAGACGATAGAGACTATCATTTTTGCTCTGCCCCAAACCGTGGCCAGTAGTACGGTTGTCACCTACAACAACAGCCTCAATTCCCTTAAATTACAGAGTTGAAAGTGGAGGGAAATTGAATCAATGTTTTTTCGATTTATTCCTCGAGAATGATTGCTTGACGAAGGAAGTAGTGCACCATCACAATATGAAAGTTCTCCAAATAGTAGAGCAAAGGACAAATTATATGCATCGATAGCTGATCGCCTGCCCCCACAGTTCATACTTCTCATGCATTGAGCCCATACAAAGTTGATTGAAATGGACAAGCTTTATCTTTAGAGTTGGACGATGTGGATTCTAGGGATGGTCCTGGAACCACGTCTCTTGTACTTCAACCTATTTATGGTTCCATGTCGTAGAATACTTCTTTAGTTTCACCTGATATACATGAAATCTAGTAGAAGCTTTTTCTCAAGTTCTATGCCTTTAGAGCTAATGCTAAGAACAACAACATTAATGATTCAATGTCATCTGTTCCTGCTAGGTGGCATGAGAAATGATAAAGGGTAATACTACATGTACAAATAAATTTACAAAGATTTTTTATACAAAGTGATGTGGTAGGACATGTATGGAAAAATAAATACGATGAATTTGATTTTTGGTATTCACTCTTCTATTCATCTCCTGCTATCTCACTTTGTACAAGAAATTTTTATAATTTTCTTTGTACGTATAGCATTATTGAATGATAAATATTTAGATGATGACAATATTTTTTTCTCTCAACGAGGAAGTAGAAGTTTTGGTTTTAATTTATAATTTAAAAATGACCAAAAAGTGGCCTTTGCAAATGAAGTCATTCTCATTTTTGTTTTGATTTCAAAATTTTTAATATTAAAAGAGTGGTGCTATTCAATGTTCTGAAAACCGGACCGAACCTCCCGGTCGGACCGGTTCGACCAGCAATCGGTGAAAAATCCGGTCCGGTATATATAAAAAACTGACATTTTGATTTAAACCGGATTGGACCACGGTTGGACCTTCGGAATAGTACCGAATCGCGGTCCAATCGTAGCTAAACCCCAACGGATTCCGACATCTTTCGACGCAGAAAACACCCCTATTCGACGGACGACATCTCCACGACCAAAACCATCCATTTTCAGTCGTTGTCGTCCAGCCTACGTCAATTGCCGTCCACCTAAAGTTCATGCGTGACGCGACGTCGGATTTCTTTCGTTGATTCCGACGAGTTCCGACGACGATGGAACTCCCTAGCACCACCATTAGAGTTGCCGGCACCTACACATCAAAAGCCCCAAGATTCCAGCTTCGATTGGCCGTCGATCGTCGCTGCCGCCACCACTCACCAGAATCTTCGCGCGACAGGGGTGTTTTAGATAGATTTCAAACCTTAAGGGAGTATTATAGGGGTGTTTTTGATGGATTTCGAACCTTCAGGGACTAAAATTTTTTACAAATTACGGTCCAACCGACAGATCTAACCGGTCAAACCGGAAACCGGACCCTTAAACGGGTCATTGTCCGATCCGGTTTTCAGAACATTGGTGCTATTGGCACCACACCTTTTATCTTAATTGACTGTAATTCTAAATTTACCCATTTGGTTAAACAAGTAATTATATATTTTTGGTAAATTTTATAAAAGTTAAAATTGTAAATAAATAATAATAAGTAGATGGGGTCTATTATAGTGTTACAAAGAAATAAAAAACAACGTGATGAAATCTTAAAAATATTAGAAGGATTTATGTCAAAACACGCCCTTAATATTCAATTTGGCTTGACTTCAAATGATAGAGATAGGGTCATTTTTGTCTTCACATAATTTTAATTAAATTAATATTGTTGATTATTTATTTTAATAAAAATTGACCTACTTAAAGTGAAAGGTTAAGAAAAGCACAACCCCTGTTTGTTTAACTTTTTAAAACTCTATTCTATTATCCTATTAAATAGTAAAAAACGTTTTTGTTTTAGTATTGACGGAATTCAATTCAAAATCCAATCTAATTCAAAGACATTTTTTAGATTGAAAATGAAAAATCCAATCTTATTTCTATTTTCCAATCCTATTCAACTATTGTGTCTCTCCTTTTTCTACCTTTCACAATAAAAGTTCATAAAGTAACAAAAACACCCCCACCACCCACCCAAGCCACTATCGATCACCAGTCGCTACCGACGTTGGAACAATACACTACTGGCTGGATCTGACTGATCGTGCACCGATCTTGCCGTTTTCGACAAAGATGGCCAAATCCACAGCCAAAGATCTGGCCGTTGATGACGACCATATCTTGGTTGTCATTGACGACCAGATTTTGGCTGTTAACGAAGGTCAGATTCTGGCTGTAGATCTGGTCGTCTTCGATGAGATCCACATGGATCTAGTTGGAAAAGGCCAGATCCAGCCGGTCGTGTGCCATTTCAACCACTGCTGGCTGCCATTTGGCTTTGGTGGCCAGTTGCCGACAGTGGCTTCGGTGGGTGGGGGTTGTAGATAAATTAACAAATGTAGGGGGTTAAAAAATAATCTAAATATTTTTCAGAAAATGTTTTCAAAAAATGTACCAAGCAACTATTCTATATTTTTATCCAACTCTGATATTTTAGATATTATACCAAACACATTCTTAGAATCATGTACCAAACAAGCCTTAAATCTCTGTTAATACTTTGATAATCCTAATTTAATTTGGTAAAGATGAAATTAACAGAAAACTATTTAATCTAACTGTGCAAAAGGAAAAATGATCATTTCAAAGATGCAAATTTTAAAATAACCCTTCACTTCTCAAATTCACCCCATCGGCAATTTCAGGCCATTCTGGCTTGTTTTCGGCATAGTTGACCCTTCTCGACACCACCATTACAATCCTCTCAACCCCCACATCAAAACCCCAAACCTCCCCGCCTGATTGAACCTCCCAATCGTTGGTCTCTACTCTTAGTTTCAGTCAGCATTTCATCCAAATTCTGGTAGGTCCCGACATCGAAAACCACCCCCAACACCACCAATAGCATTACCGGCTTCCCCCCACCCAAAACCCCCAACATCGTCGATCGCAATTGCCCATCGATCGATGCCGCCTCTCCCTTAGGTTTTCGTGTTTTGTCGCGCCTTTCCACTCAAATTCTAGCACCTTGCTGAGGTGCAATCAAGTGAAAAAGTTAGGGGTTTTGGTGAGGAGGATAAGGGGATGTTGATGGTGATGTCAGGGAGGTCCAATGGTGCCAGAATCAAGTCGGATTTTGGCTTGGCTGGGGTCTCCTTTGGGATTATTTGAGAGAAATTTGATAGGAGTTATTTTGAGAGAAAAGTAATGGTGTTAATTTTAGGGTAGGAATTTGCAATTTATGAAACCAGGGGTGGGAACTTGTAGGTTCGCCAAACGTTGGGTGGGAAAATGTCGTTTACTCTTTGTGAAATAACTAACAACCAAGGGAAGAAGAAGAGAAACGACATCGTTTCTTGTTATCAATTAAACTATTAAGGGTCCGTTTGGTTCAAAGAATGTTAGATTATTGGAAATGTTGGATTGTGAGAAAGTTAAATTACCTCGAAAATTATTGGGAATTTTTAAGAAAATGTGTTTGATTAGTTGGAATAAATTGATGAGTATGTTATATTAATATGTTTGGTTGGGAGGAATAAATTGGTGAGTATGTTATTTAAATTACTAAATTACCTTTTTTTAAATATTAATATAATATTATTTTTATTATTAATTTTTTAATAATTTCTTTTAACTCTCAACATTTCGGATTTAGCTAAAACATCCTAGCTTATATAAAACTTTAATTTATAACAAAATAACCCCCACCATCCCAAGCCACTGCCAACCACCGTCAGCCATCGCTGGAAAGTCGCCGAAGTCGCTAAAAATGGCCAAGAGTCACTGGGAGGCTCCCAACGACTCTCGGTCATTTTTAGCGAATTTGGCAACTTTCTGGCAGCGGTTGGCTCGCTGTCGACAGTGGTGGTTGGGTGGCGGTGATGGTTTGCAATTTGTTTTAAATATAAGGGTATTATTATGTAAAAACTTAATTAAATAAGGGTAAAATTATAATGATGGATTAATGTAAATTGATTTTAAAATAAAGATATTATTGTTCAATATTTTTATTAATAAAAGATAAAATTATAATAAAAAATAAAATTACTTTATTAATCTTATAATATTTAAAAGAATAAAGATAATAAAATTATCTTCAATATTACCAAAAATAATTATTATTGTTATTATCAAAAACTCGATAACATAGGCATATAATCTCCTACCAATCGCCTCCTCAAGGCAATCCATTTCGACCGACTAATAACACAACACCCAAAACACAGACACTTTGAAGCTTCCACTTCTCAGTTCCAACAAAACGCATATGGATTTGATTTCATCTTTTAATATGAAAGCCACCCAGATTTTAATTCCAGCAATCACAAACTCGAGTAGCTTCTCAGCTTCACTTCGTAACTCTAAATTCCCAGTTCCAAACAAGTCCTGTACCGTCCATGCCAGGAAGAGAAACTCAAACTCAAACTCCGACTCACTTCCCCAAAAAAATTTAGTTGAAGAAGTATTATTAGACGAAGAGGAAGATGTTCTTTTTGAAGACTTTGAAGATGGTACTAATAACCCTTTTAAAAGAAACAGAGTCATCTCATTTAAGTTCTTATGTTAAGTTTTTCTTTACAGTGAAATGACCGTTATTTGATAATCAAAGAAGCTTTTATGAGTCATTGGGATTTTTTTTTCTTTTTCTTTTTTTTTTTTTTTGTAGAGGAAGTAATGGACGGTGATGATGGTGGTGATTATTTTGAAGATGAGTATGCGGAAGAGGATAGCGAAATCTATGTAAGTTGGTAGTGAAGTTATTTGTGTCCTTTAGTAATGTTGTGATTTGAAGTCGTGATTTTCTAAGAACATATTTTACATTTTGTTTTTGAAGGCTGGCGATGGAGGTGAAGGAGGTGGAATATCCCTTGCTGGGACTTGGTGGGATAAAGAAGCTTTGGCTATGGCTGAAGATGTCTGTCTGTCTTTTGATGGTGTCTTGAAAATATACGCATTTAAGACTACGTTAAATTGCATCATTCGAGTGCGCATTGAGAACATGTCAAAGAAGTAAGCATTTGTTGACATTGTTATAGGATTCTAATTGATTTTGCTTCCATCGGTGCATAATGTAGATTGCATTTACTTGCAAGAATTTCAATAGGACTTCTGTTTAGTTAGTGATACTCCTTTCATTTGCTATCAATCTGTTACTGGGTATATCTTGATGCTATCAGTTGCAAACATAATTGAGTATATATCATGGAATGCTTTCTATAGATAATTCCTTCTCATGCTCGTGAGAGTGGAAGTTGTAATTTACTAAGTGATGTATCCTTAGAGATGAACCAAAATGTCAATTACGCTCAAATCAAATGATACACGATGAGGGAACTTTCTGTCATAAGACGAGGATAGTTCATGTTCTAAAGATTCTTCTGCATAATTTCTTTATTTTCTTGTTATTTATTTATGCTGAAATCAAATTCTTGACTACCATCTGAATGGCTTATATTTCATTAGGATTTTTTCCTTCAACTTTTTATGGCTATCGCTTCCTAATTAGGAGGATTTTCACCATAAGATTAATTAATAAATGTCTCGGGGCTCTCTTTGCTGGCAATGTGTCACAGATCAGGTTCCCCAAATATGGAAGATATTGAAGCCTTTTCTGCATCCTATAGAGCTAAACTAGATGAAGCAGAGATTGCGAAATCCATACCCGAGAACATGTCTTTGGAGGTATTTATTAATTTATATTTATTCTGTTTTGGTTTTTCTTTTGATATGTTAATTGTGTTAGCTTCCTGTGGAGGAGGCAATCCTCTCTAGACAAGCAGTTGAAATTGACAACTAAAATGCAAGGAATGAACTGCATGTGTAGTATAGACTGGTTTGGTTATCTATTTGGTTATTCTTTTATATTGCCACTTTCTTTGGCTTGAAGAGCTGAATTGATTTTGTACTTTGCCACCAAATATCTGCTGGCTATTGCTTTAAGGCTAATTGTTGAATTGTTCAAGTTCTCTGTGAAACATTTTGGTCTAAGTAAATGCTTTTTTAATTTCAGGTGTCATCTCCCGGTGTTGAAAGGGTAGTTAGAATTCCACAAGAGCTGGAACGGTTCAAGGATCGACCTATGTATGTGAAATATGTCAGTGAAGTGGCTGCAACAGGTTCATCTTCAGAAAGTGATGGTGTTTTCAGGCTTATCTCTTTTGACCTGGAAACAAATTGTTGCACCTGGGGTTTGGCAGATGTGAGAATAAACAGAGAAAAAGCAGGGAAAGGAAGACCACTCAGCAGAAAGCAACGAGACTGGCGTTTGGATACAACCTTTGATTCCTTGTGTTTCGTCCGATTGCACTCTGATTGTTGAATTTTGTTCTCCAGTTATTTTTTCATCCATTAAATCATGTGTATTCATAGGAAACTCCATAATGTAGCCAGGTATGCTAACATAATGAGTTCTTAGGATGCCATCGGACAGGACCAATCCCTATATGAGTTGTTTATGTACATACTTTAATAAAATTCTGTCTTTTGTTCTATATACTACTGATTTTATATGGATGAATTGAATTAAAAAAATGAAATGAGAAGGATAAAACTGATGAAGTTTGGAAGTTACGGGGTCAAGATTAGAAGAATAAGAAAAAAAGGTACGAATAAAACTACTAGTTAGCATAATAGGTAAAGTTTTATAGAGGTTTCCTGGCCCTGGTTTAAAAATCTTCAGTTTGTTCTCAGAACTTCTTCACCTCCTTGACTAGTCCTAGAAACTGAAAATAAATATATAGGATTCTGTTAGCATTAGCTATTTATCGGGACAGTTGCAAGTTTATATGGATTTTTGTCTCACTTTATTGCTGAAATAAACCAAGGATGTTGTATCCTCTGATGCAGTGACATTTGAAAATGAAAAGTAAGGTTTTACTAGTCTATGAGATGGTGCAAGTTCTGTTTCGTCTTCATGGCATCCTTTCTAGTTACCTGGAAATTAAGGTATGACATCACCATTGGATCTTTTACTTTTGTCCTTTAGGTTTTTTTTTGTGGACGAAATATATTTTTCTTAAGTAGTAGCATATTTCTTTCCACAAATGCCACTGGCTGAATATTTAGTTTGGTCCATTTAGTCCAATTTTACTAATTACTAGGATGGGTCTAAATACCAGTAGAATCTTTGTTTTTGATTGTTAATTGTCTGAGTTCATTGTGGAGATACAGGAACCTTCCAAATTGCTGGAAAGAGGGCTTAGGGCTGAAAGTTTAAGCAGCAAGTAGCTCAGGCCTGCCACAAATCCTTCTGCATCCTCTGAGGCTGCTAATAGTGATCCAGGATTAGATCCGGTAGTTCTGGTCATTTTATCCTTTGAGCCAAAACATAACATGATCTGAAAATTTCCTGTGTCAGATTGCTCTAACAGTCTAACTGCCTGCATACTACCATTGAGTTGCAATTTTTTTCCGACTTCTCATTGTAATTTCTGTATCTTTGTAATATGTCCGTTGGCTGTGTGGCAGATTTTTTTTTTTTTTCTAAAAATATGTTCTAGTGTTGATTAAATTTGAATAAGCTGCCCAAATAAATACAATTATTTGGTTGCCTGATTGGTGCTCTTTGGAAATAATCTGTTGTAGAATTGGCCCCTCTCATTGATCTAGCTCTGGTCCTGATTTTTCTTTTTCAAAAGTTATTAAAACTGTCTACCTTGGTCCTTAACTTCTTTTATGTTAGAACTCAGGTAAACTGAAACATTTAAACTATAGTGCTATAATATTGAAATTATATCTTCAGACTTCTACCTTTGTTTGCTTATTGAATTCCTGTCTCTACCAATGAGGATATTAAAGAAGCATTGCCTAAGTTTTCAAAGAAATTCTTTTTCTTATTCAATTCAATTGCATTGGTGTTCTTTCCCGCAAAGTTAGATCTAGCCTTTTACTATAGCCATCATTAGATTGCTAAGAACCCAATACAAAATTGCTTTTATTGATCATCTTTTCATTTTATTTTATCCTCATATCAGCTGGCCATATTTAGAGAAACCCTAGCATAATGGCAGGATGTGAATATAAACTCCATTGCAGTGAACATAAGGTTTAGAAAGAAAAATAGAGCCTGATAGTGATTGATTTTCTTGAATTTAACTATTGAATCGCAGAAGTGTGATGTCAAAGCATGTACTTAGTGGTTCATCTGAGCCATATATCTCATTGTGATTATGAAATGCAAAAAGTGACTTGATTTTTAATTGCACTTCCTAAGATCTAGAAACTCATAAATTATGATTTTTAGCACTTGAGTTTGACTGTAAAGAACATCTTTCTATATAATCAAAACCCACTTTTCCCTCTTCCTGCTTTTGTATTTTGTTTCTTCTTTCCTGCAATTACGTTTGTAGAAACTTTATGCCACAATAGTGGAGAGGGGCCTTTAGAACAAAAGGTGAAAAATCTTACACATTAGTCTATACTACACAGCCCTATATGCTAAATTAACCAACCAAACACTTTATTGGATTCTTATCCAAATCTTTGTATTCTTTAAAATATTCATAGTTTTGTTGATGTCTTATAATACGGCTAACGTTGTCCCAACCAGCCCCACTTTTTATGGCTCAAGAATAGAGAGAAACACATTTTCATTTATGGAAAATGACTTGAATAGAATAGAACCCTCTTTTTGCTTTTGGTATTTTTCTCATTTTCAGCTTTGTTAATGCTATTTTCATCATTCTCACAGCATGCTGCTGCTGCTGATATAACCTGGGATATCCACTCTACTCTGCAGCTTTCACAGCTTTGAATTACAGAAACCAGCACACTCCTCATCCTGAGGTCCCCCAACATTTCTTCTTGGTAAAGTACCTCGACAATGTCGCTCAACTTACAAGGCAATAAAATTTCGAGTATTTTAAATGTTGAATAATATAAGATTTCTCTTGTTATGAAATGTTTGGCTGCAACACTATTTATTGATTTGAAATTATGAAACCTCTTTGTCAACCAACATATTATAGTTTAAGTTAAAAGCATAATGATATTTTCAACACTACTTATTATTGATCAATTGACCTCAGTCAGAGTATACATGTGAAGCTGTGTTTTTCACATGAATTTTTTAACTTTGATCATTTTTTTTCATTTAAAGTCCCTCACTGGCACCCACTGTTTTTTCCTTATCCGAATTTCAAATGATTTTCAAGTCTAACTTTGTGGATATATTATTATTTTTTTGGTATGAGATTTTTTAATTTAAATTAGAACACAAATTCATAATCATTAATTTATTGCCGAACGGATATGAGAAGAAGTTGGAAATAATTATTTTCTTTCCCATCTTATCAACTTTTAAACTATTAGATTGGAGCTGATCAAATATTAAAAGTTTAAGTAAAAAATTTAAATCAAAATTAAGTTAAAAGATATCATCCTCAACTACCGGTTTTATAACTTGGGCATCTCCAACCCAACGCCATTTCGGTGTAGGTGTGGAAAATGTGTTTTAACCCAACACTAAAAACTACACCAAATTGGTGTAAGTGAATACTATTCATCCACACCAATTTGGTGTGACACTATTTATTTATTATAAGATATATTTTATTTTATTATTTTTTTATTTGTATTTATGTTAATTTGACTATTATTTATATTAATATTTATAATAGTAAATTCATAATAATTATATAATTCAAAAAATGATAAAAAATTAAAAACAAAACTTCATTCAATGCAAATATTAAACTACAATAACTCAAAATAAAGATTAACACTAATTTAAAAACACTAAGATTAAAAAAAAAATACAATATAAACTAAAATAACAATTTAGTGTTCTGGTAGATTAGTTCCGAATTCTTTAAGTTCATCAAAATATTGGAAAGGACTATAACTATTTTGAGATCATTAACCTTGTTGTTGAGCTCTTTTTTGCATAATTCTTTATTACTCATTTTGAAAAAACTCACACAGGCTGGATCGGTTTATGGAATTCAAACCGATTTCAAATTTTTGCTTGACATAGACAAATCAAGATACAGAGGTTATCCATGCTCTTCGAAATGCATTAATTGATCATTTGTGGAAGAATATACATTTAGAAAATTAAATTACTATCATATGAAATTTTATTTTGTGTTTGTTGTTGTCCTTTTTTTTTTTGTGGCATTTTATATTAGATGTAATGTTTTTTATATTAAATTATGTTTTTTGATTAATAATGCTTAATTTTATTAAATTAGTAATATTTTTAAAGTTTTATTATTTAATAAAAATATCATTCTCAATATTTAATTAATATATACAAAAATATTAATGAAATAAATTAATTTGATTATTAATAGAAATAATATTCTTTTTGGTGTAATATTTGGTGCAATGGGTTGGAATGAAACGTGAAATACACAAAAAATCATACCATTTGGCATAAAACTTGCACAATTTAGTGTTTGTGGTTGGAGATGGCCTAAGTTATGATTTTCTTGTCATTTTATCAACTTTTAAATTATTAGATTGTAGTGAAAAAATTAAATTAAAAAATACCATCTCTAGATAAGGAGGACTTTTTTTTTTTTTGTTCTTTAAAAAATTATGCTCGAAAATTGAACTTGGATTTCATTATGGAGCTACAAATTGGGTTTTGACCTAATCACTGACAATTTGTTTAATAATAATTTTTTAAAATAAAGAAATTTATAATTAACAATGGGGGGAATGTTATGTTTATAATATTTTTTAATAAATTTTTTTCATAATTTCAATGTGATAATTCATTATTAGTTAATTTATAAATAAATAGACATAATTTATACAAGCAAATGAGACTTATTTTATAAACTGATCAATAATGAACAATTATCTTAAGATTATTAAAAAGAAAATAATAAAGTTATCGAAAAATTTATATCAAATTTGTGTATCGAATGACGTAATAAAATTTTAATTATTAATTAATAATAAATTAACGATCAAGATTTTGTTACGTTATTCAATGCATAAATTTAATGCACACCTATAACTGTAACATTAGTCTTATTAAAAAAGACCTTGGATGTAGTAATAAAAAATAATATACACAGAGATATGAGACAAATGTGGCCGTAGAATGAGGCCAAAAATCTTGAAAATAAAAAACAGTAGTCAACGTCCACGCTTGATGTCTTGTCGAGTCAATTTGAGCCCCGCGCGTGCTTGTGGGATCTACACTGGACCAGCGCGTGCGCTCATTCCTATCCGCAGTTAAAAGATAAGTTCAGCAGGCGGCCAAATTTGTCGGCACTTTATTGAGTCTTAAAAGTACAAAAAAGATTAGCCTAGATTCCATCAATTCAAGCCCAGAGAGCGATCCCATCAGTTCTCTGTTTACTGATTCGACAGTGCACAACACCAGCACCATCCGCGAGTGGCCGTCAAAATTTCTCAAATATATTACACGCGGGAAGCGGCTGGCTAAAGTATTGCATAGAAGATACTCTTTTGTACTTTAGACTTATTGACTCATAGTTCCCATAATAATAAAAAATATAATATAATGTTTTTATATATTTCGATTATTATATTAAGAGAGCTTTCTGATTAACCTTGACATTTACGAGAAATGCTACGGACACCAAATTTATACGCTGAAATTTGTTACCGAACGATGTAAAATCTATTAAGATACGGTTACGATGGATATAAAATACTGATTTCGTGAATAGAAGATTATCCATCTTACACAGACGATTGTCCATACGTTATATACGGATGAACAATCGTCCACAACAATATCAATAGACTCTCATTTATATAATATAGACAGGTGTCAATTTACTATAAACGAACATCCATATAAGATGGATGTCTGTCCAGAAAAGTTTAAAAACTAATAATGGATGGACGTCCATATACAATGGACAGCCGTCCATCCTGTCTATACCCAAATTCTAGTTTAATAGAATTTTTTTTTTGAAAAATTCTACATTGTGAATACTTTTTATCTATCTCTCTTGCTTTGCATTTTTTTTATAAATGAAAAAAAATGTAAATTTAAAAAAAAAATTATTTGAGTATGGACACCAGTCCATCTCATTTGGATGGTCGTCCATTGTATATTGACACCCATCCTCATTAGATGGATTGGCGTCCAAGCTTTTTACTTTAAAAATCAAATTTTTTTTTTCCTTTATTTCATCTAAAAATTTTGTGCTTTAAAAATAAATATTTTATCTAAAAATTTTGACTTAGACAAACAATAGTTTTTTTATAAATGAAAAAGAAAATGTAAATTTATAAAAAAAATTATTTAAGAAGGACGGTCGTCCATAGTAAAGGGACTCCCGTCCATAATATATGGACGTATGGACGGGAGTCCCTTTACTATGGACGACTGTTTATCATAAATGAAAGACCGTCTGGACTCTCGTCCATTTATGATGAATGATCGTTCATAATTGTTGGAGGTCGTTCATTCTCTAAATACTTGTGTTGTGTCTTACGTGGCCACGTCCGAGTCAAATGCCAAATAGATCGGTGCAAAATTTCGGTACCGACATTAGGTGTGTGCATAGATTTTTGATCATCTATAGGTGTCAACATTATCATTTATTATTGTACATGATTATTTTATTGATAATTAATTTTATAAAAATTTATTTATTATTGAATTAAATTTAAATGTAAGGATAATGCGGTAGTTGAACTCAGTTAAAACTTTTGCTTTTAGTTGTAGTCTGCAAGTCTGTAAACAGTTTCTTTCTCTCATTTATGGGGGCTAATCTGTAGTGTAGTGTATAAATAGAGCATAATTTTTATAGAAAAAATCAAATCTTGGGTTAAAATATTATTTCATATCATTATATAACTATCTTTTTGTTAAAGCTAAGCAACGCCAGAATTCACGTGACTGGTGTAACAGAATTTGTTTGATAAAGATATCCATAATTCCATACATGGTATTATCATCATCATTATTAATATAATTCTTTTTTGGTGTTACTTTTTTAAATCTTGGTTGTCATTCTATGTTTGGAGTTGCAATTCTGTGCAAATGGATATATAAAGCAGTGAGCTGTGTAAAAAGTTAAGATCTTGAAATGGGTATGGGTAGGTGGTGTTTTGGTTTGTTGTTGGTTTGGGGTTTGGTTGTGAGTAGCAATGTTGAAGTGAAGGGATACCCAGTTGAGGATCTGGTGGTGGGATTGCCTGGTCAAACCAAGGTTGAGTTCAAACAGTTTGCTGGGTATGTTGATGTTGATGTGAAACATGGCAGGAGCTTGTTTTACTACTTTGTTGAAGCTGAGGTTGACCCTCAGAAGAAGCCTCTCACTCTCTGGCTCAATGGAGGTTGGTTGCTTAATTTGCTTTTTTTTGGTTCTTTCTTTAAATTGAATCTGGTCAACTTATATGCAAATCTGGAACTGGTTTATGTTTCTCATTATGGTGTATTTTTGTTTTATGTTTTTGAAGTGAGTTCTGGTTAGATTTTGGAATGTTTTTGTTTTGTCTACTGTTTATTTTTTGTTTCCTTTACACTTAGGTTCCTGTTTATCTTTTAAAAAGTGTTTTGGACTGCGCATAAGCAACCTTTGTTGTGTTTTGTTCTCTGTAACATATGCTTTGATTTACATGCTGGTTATTTCTTATTTTAACTTATTGCCCGATGTACTCTATAAATCAACTGCAGCAACATATGAGACTATTAAGTTTGTAATTTAGTTCTTCATGCGTGAGCATTTGCTCTATGAGGCAAACAAACTATTCAGATTATATTTCTTCTCGTCGATTCAGGCCATTAGGACCATTCTTTGATTTGACCTTCAAGACTAATTCATTATCCTAACATAATGCTTTCGTGTTTGGAATACATATTTTTAGTAGCAAGATTGATCCGTCTTCTTCTACACCTGTGGTAGGGGAAAAGTATTCTACTGTGTTTTTAAGTAAAGGTCATCAAATTCCAAATTCACATTGACAGGTCCAGGGTGTTCATCTATTGGTGGAGGTGCCTTTACAGAGTTGGGTCCATTTTATCCCAGAGGAGATGGCCGAGGACTTCGAAGAAATCCAATGTCATGGAATAAAGGTATTGGAATAACATATATTACTATGGCATGTTACTGGAAGTAATTCGAGCATGTAGCTATAAGAAATTTCAATTTACATTCATTCTTTATTTTTTTGTAGCATCAAATCTCCTTTTTGTTGAATCTCCTGCTGGAGTTGGATGGTCATACTCAAATACGACTGCTGATTATACTTGTGGGGATGATTCTACTGGTAAAAGGGGCAGCATATGTCTTATTTTTTTTCCTTTAAGATTTTTTTGGCTCCATGTCCAGTTTGGAATGGTTAAAGCTAATTTAATTTTCTTGACAGCCAAGGATATGCGCACATTCTTCTTGAACTGGTATAAGAAGTTCCCAGAATACAAATCAAGAGAATTATTTCTTACAGGGGAAAGTTATGCAGGTATCAGGAGCTATAATTCTAATTTAATAGCCATTGTGAAAGGCAAAATTTGTTTGAAGTACCCCCATCCAGTCCACTCTTTAAAATGATACTGATTTGAAAATTTAAAATTTTGAAGCATATTTTGTATGATACTAAAACCTTCAATTACTTTGCGAGTATCAAACTCATGAAAAGCTATTGCTTTGTGCTCGAAGTAGAAACAAACAACTGGCTATTGTGGTAAATGTGATTTAACATTATTGTATTAGTTGTGACTGTGATCGATAGACGTGTGATTCGTTTCATTTCCTGTTAATTTGGTTTTATTTTAATTATCTTGGTTTATAAGCTTTGACAGTTTCTTTTATATTTATCGATGTTATTTGCCAGGTCATTACATACCACAGCTGGCTGATGTTCTGCTGGACTATAATGCACGTTCAACTGGTTTCAAGTTCAATATCAAAGGAGTTGCTGTAAGAAAATCTGGCATTATAAATCTAATTTCTTTGTTTCTTGTCGTGCTGTTTGGTATCTTGTGGTTGTTTTTGTTCTCATTTGATCCTTTCATTTGACTTTGCTCTGATTAGATTGGAAATCCACTTCTCAAACTTGATCGTGATGCTCAAGCAACATATGAATTCTTTTGGTCTCACGGAATGATTTCTGATGAAGTTGGTCTTGCCATCATGAACAAATGTGATTTTGATGATTATGTCTTCGCTAGTCCTCACAATATGACTGACTCATGCAACAATGCCATCAGTGAAGCAAACGACATCGTTGGTGAATATATAAATAATTACGATGTGATCCTTGATGTTTGTTATCCATCTATAGTAGAGCAAGAACTGCGGTTGCGGAAAGTGGTATACTTTATTGTTCCTTGTACTCAGCATATTTTGTTCTTTATTCTCAAGATATTCATTACTTGAAACTTTATGAAGAAATGAACAATTTTCTTTCTTCTTATATGTACAGGCTACCAGGATAAGTGTTGGAGTTGATGTGTGTATGACCTATGAAAGAAGATTCTATTTCAACCTTCCTGAGGTTCAGAAGGCTCTTCATGCAAATCGAACTAAATTACCATATGGCTGGTCTATGTGCAGTAGGTTAGAAATTTGCACTTCTAGCAGACATCCTCATTCTGTACACATATTAAACATATAGAGTAACTATTGCTGCATCTCTGCGTGAGTTATGCCTTCAGCTAGCTTGAACTAGAAAGTTCTCTAACTCCTGTTAAAATAAACAATGTAAGGTCTGTCATACATAATTCTCTGTGGAAGTTATTTTTAGCACTTCTTTTGGTACTGACAGGTCCCCCTGTAGGATTACCGATCATCCTGTATGTCAAATTTTTAATACATGACTACTTGTTTTACTGATCATTGCAATTTCATGTTTTCGGCAGCGTTCTAAATTATAGTGACACTGATGGTAACATCGACATGCTTCCCCTGCTCAAAAGGATAGTTCAGAATGGGATACCTGTTTGGGTATTTAGGTAAGATCTAATTAGGTAGATTATACGATCTGCTAACCCCACCCTTTTCTGGTCCTCCTTCACTAAACATTGTTTGGTTGGTAATGATTATCTGATTGTTAAATTTGATAAACTATAGTGGTGACCAAGATTCTGTTGTACCTTTGCTGGGATCCCGGACACTCATCCGTGAACTAGCACATGATCTAAAGTTCGACGTTACAGTCCCATATGGAGCTTGGTTTCACAAAGGCCAGGTACTTGCCCTCCATCAATTTCATCATTTTCCCTTTATCTATTTCTTTCCGTGTTAACTTGCTCCTAAATATCTATTTTCTTGTTACAGGTGGGAGGTTGGGCAACCGAGTATGGAAATTTGTTGACTTTTGCCACAGTAAGGGGTGCTGCTCATATGGTACCCTATGCACAACCATCAAGAGCCTTACATCTTTTCAGTTCATTTGTGCGCGGTCGAAGACTGCCTAATAATACTCGTCCTTCGATAGATGATTAAGAAAAAATGTTTTACGAGTTGCTGCAATGTGTTAGGGTTTCAAGTTAGTTCATAATTCTAAAATTTCGTTACTCGAAAGATAAGAAAGTCATCGTGTTTTCAACAATTACGGATACCCGAAGGGACAAAAGAAGGCCTTTCAATTGTAGTTGAGGAGAGAGGAAATTAAATATAGGACTTTTCTTAATTTTCATTGATGATAGTTCTCACTTCTCAGTTGTATCTTCTTGAAATAGAAGAAGAACATGATTGACTTGATAACGAGTTCATTTCATGTAATGAATGGGAGGAAGTTTGATTATTTGATTGGAATTATGTTAGCTGTATTTCCTGACATTGAAGTTTGTGGAATTGAAATGCAACAGAAATTTCATGCTCTTGTTAGACATGATCTTCCTGCACTTATTTATTTGATCAATTGTAAGCATTGAGCAGGAAGCTCTTTGATTCTTCCAACTTTTTGTTTTTTATTTGTTTCCGTCGATGATATGCTCTGCTTCTCGGTTTGGGGTTATCCACATTTGGTTTCTTTCTTAAGGAGTATCAAAGAGAATGTTCTATGTTATAAAATCCTAACCAAATATTTGTGTAATTGAACTTGTTTGGATTGAGAGAAAAATTTAGCGTGAGTTTTGAAATTGAAAGTGTAAACAAATAATTGGGATTTGGGAGTGCTTTACAATAGGAGGGGTGATTTTGAAAAACTCAAAAAAATATTTTTTATTTTTTAACTTCACATTTTTCTTGTTTTTCCTTCTTACCATAACTTTCTATTAAAGAAAACAAAAACTACTCTTGTTCCCCGCTTATCATAGGACTAACTACTTGTGGCGGGAATACTATGTTAGTTTTTTTTATTTTTTCAAGTTTTTAATTAAAGGAAGAAAAAGAAATCCCAAATAGAAAACAACAAAGCGAGACTCAGTAGCTTAGGCCTTAGGAAGTAGGAACCCAAGCGGGTCATGCCCGAGTCGTCACTGAGTCAATGCGCCTCAGGTTTCTGTTTACATCGTCACAAAACTCAAAGCCACGCTTCATTGTTCAATATTCAAGCTTCTCAAAGATTACCTCTGACTCGACCTCCTTGAAACCAGATCCCATTTACAATCATCTCTTACGAACTTGCGTCCAAGAATGCAAACACATCAATACCCGCCACCTGTTCGACGAAAGGTCTCAGAGACTAACCCACGCTTTGAAAACAAGCAGAATTGTCCATGCCCAGAGCCTCAAATTTGGATTTGGGTCAAAAGGGTTGCTAGGAAACGCTATAGTTGATCTTTATGCCAAGTGTGGCAATGTAGACTTGGCTGAGAAGGTGTTTAATAGGCTTGAAGAGAGGGATATTTTGGCTTGGAACTCTATTTTGTCCATTTATTCGAAACGTGGGTTGTTTGAACATGTTGTTAAATCTTTTGGGTTGTTGTGTAATTCTGGTGTGTTGCCAAATGAGTTCACATTTGCGATGGTCTTATCTGCTTGTGCCAAAGCAGTGGATGTTAATTACGGTAGGCAAATACATTGTTATGTTGTTAAGATTGGGATTGAGATGAGTGCTTTTTCTGAGGGCGCTCTTATTGATATGTATGCTAAGTGTGGTAATGTGAGAGATGCAAGGAGGGTTTTTGATGGGGCAGTGGATTTGGATACGGTTTCGTGGACATCAATGATTGCTGGGTATGTTCAGGCTGGTTTGCCCGAAGCTGCGTTGGAAGTGTTTGATGAGATGAAGAAACTTGGCCGAGTTCCGGACCAGGTGGCTTCTGTGACTGTGATAAATGCATGTGTTAGTCTAGGTCGGCTTGATGAAGCATGTGAATTGTTCGATCAGATGCAAAACCCGAATGTTGTAGCTTGGAATGTGATGATATCTGGGCATGGCAAGAGAGGCTATGAGGCAGAAGCGGTCAATTTTTTTCAAAGAATGAGGAAAGCTAGTGTTAAATCCTCACGATCCACGTTAGGCAGTGTATTGAGTGCCATTTCAGGTTTAGCAGCTCTTGACTTTGGCTTGATAGTTCATGCTGAGGCTATTAAACAGGGTCTCGACTCTAATGTTTATGTGGGGAGTTCTTTGATAAATATGTATTCCAAGTGTGAGAAAATGGAGTCCGCAAAGAAGGTTTTTGATTCTTTGGATGAAAGGAATATTGTCTTGTGGAATGCTATGCTTGGAGGTTATTCACAGAATGGGTATGCCCATGAAGTGGTGGAACTGTTCTCCACCATGAAGAGCTCTGGTTTTCAGGCTGATGATTTTACCTATACTAGCATTTTGAGTTCATGTGCTTGCCTGGACTATTTGGAAGCGGGTCGCCAGTTGCATACGGTCATTATCAAGAACAACTTTGCATCTAACTTATTTGTGGGGAATGCATTGGTTGACATGTATGCTAAGTCAGGTGCTCTGAAGGAAGCAAGACAACAATTTGAGCGCATAAGGAATCAGGATCATGTTTCTTGGAATGCAATTATTGTTGGATATGTGCAGGAAGGGGATGAGTTTGAGGCTTTTAATATGTTTCGCAGAATGAATTTATCTTGGATTTTGCCTGATGAAGTGTCCTTGGCCAGCATCCTCAGTGCCTGTGCCAATGTTCAAGGTCTCAAGCAAGGGAAACAGATACACTGTATGTCAGTCAAAGTTGGTCTAGAAACAAGTATTTATTCGGGAAGCTCGCTTATTGACATGTATGCCAAGTGTGGAGATATAGGGGCTGCTCGAAAAGTCCTCTCTTGTATGCCTGAACGGAATGTGGTCTCCATGAATGCTTTGGTTGCTGGTTATGCTCAAAATAATTTAGAGGAAGCCATTGTTTTGTATCAGGAGATGATGGCTGAAAGATTGACCCCAAATGAAATAACTTTTGCTAGTCTTCTAGATGCATGTGACGGACATCATACATTTAATCTGGGAACACAAATCCACTGTCTTATAGTAAAGAGAGGCCTTTTGTATGATGCTGACTTCTTGGGTGTCTCTCTATTGGGTATGTATATGAATTCCAAGAGAAATACAGATGCAAGTATTCTCTTCTCAGAGTTCAAAAATCCAAAAAGCAAAGTTTTATGGACTGCTATTATTTCAGGACACACTCAAAATGATTTCAATGAGGAGGCCTTGCATTTCTATCAGGAAATGCGTAGCCACAATGTCATACCTGATCAGGCTACATTTGTCAGTGTCCTTAGAGCATGTGCTATCTTATCTTCTTTGAGAGATGGTACAGAGATCCATTCTCTAATATTTCACATTGGTTATGATTTAGATGAGTTAACATGTGGTGCAATTGTAGACATGTATGCTAAATGTGGAGATGTGAAAAGTGCAGTTCAAGTTTTTGGTGAAATGGGGAACAAAAATTTTGTTATTTCCTGGAACTCAATGATAGTTGGATTTGCAAAAAATGGTCATGCAGAAGATGCACTAAAGATCTTTGATGAGATGAAGCAAACTCATGTTATGCCTGATGATGTCACATTCCTTGGTGTCCTAACAGCATGCAGCCATGCAGGTAAGGTATCCGAAGGTCGACAGATCTTTGACATTATGGTAAACTGCTACGGGATTCACCCTAGAGTAGATCATTGTGCCTGCATGGTTGATCTTTTTGGCCGATGGGGTTTTCTTAAAGAGGCCGAGGAATTCATCAACAAACTGAATTTTGAACCTGATGCTAAGATTTGGGCTACACTGCTAGGTGCTTGTGCGATACATGGAGATGATATAAGGGGAAGGTGGGCAGCCAAGAAACTCATTGATTTGGAACCCCAAAATTCTTCTCCGTATGTGCAGCTTTCTAATATATTTGCTGCATCAGGAAAATGGAGTGAAGTTAACACTTTGAGGAGGGAAATGAGAGAAAAAGGAGTGAAAAAGTTGCCTGGATGTAGCTGGATTGTTGTAGGACAGGAAACAAACTTGTTTGTTGCAGGGGATACATGTCATCCTAATTCAGATGATATTCGTGCAGTTCTGAAGGAATTGACAGAATTAATGAAAAAGGATCGCCATCTCCCTGAAATTGAATCTTTTTGGCATGATGAAATGTGAGGGGACCCTTGATTTTCATTACAATCTACCTACTTGAGCAGATGTGAAACTATTATTCATTATTCAGTTTAATGCATGCTGTATGAGGCATGTATTGATGGCAAGGGGATCAGCAGTCAAGACCCGAGTTTTTAGAGGTCTGAATATTAAATCGCTTGTACTGGTTTGCTGAAGAGATTCTCAGCATTATAATACTCGAGATCTATGGACTCAATGACCTATGCTAAATTAAAGTAAGTTGCTGGGGAGTTACAACGTGGCAGTCAGAGTCAAGGGACCTGGAAGCCAAGGATCGCTTTGCAATGGACAGCCTAGCATATTTTGGAGTTAGTTTTTTATCACTAATTCTGGCTTCTCAATTTTGGTGGGAAGAGGAGCACCAGAAGACATTATCTATCTTTTTCACAATAAGGTCTTCTACTAATTATTTTTAGCATGAATCATTGGTACAGTGGGTTGTGGCATTACTAGTAGGAAGATGGTTGATAGAAGCAGCACTAGAATTATAATATGAACAGAGTTTGATGAATTCCATCCGAGATATGCTGCTGGACAAGCAATGTGAGTAGGACATAGAGATTGATGACATAATTTATAGATAAATAGTTGGGCCTATGATTCATCAGATTGAGCTTTTGAGTTTTGGGATTAACTTCCCCCAAGCTGATGTGAATTCCATGGGGCCTTTATAATGAAGAAAAGTTTCCTAATTTTTTTCCATACTCACAATTGATTGATTGTTGGAATGAAATTCTTGTTTCCTGAAGTTAAATTAAGTTGTAGTTATTTGATATCATATCACTGATTTATGTTGAGTTGATATTCTGCATGTTCGATGCTCAAATGATTTATACTTAACTTGTTTGTGATTATTGTAAACAACATTAATTAATTCTTTGTATCTTGTGGACAACATACGTTACTTTACTTTTGCATGATCTTATTGAGGAATATCTAAGCATTGAACTTGTTTGATTGAGAGAAAAATTTAGCGTGAGTTTTGAAATTGAAAGTGTAAACAAATAATTGGGATTTGGGAGTGCTTTACAATAGGAGGGGTGATTTTGAAAAACTCAAAAAAATATTTTTATTTTTTAACTTCACATTTTTCTTGTTTTTCCTTCTTACCATAACTTTCTATTAAAGAAACAAAAACTACTCTTGTTCCCCGCTTATCATAGACTAACTACTTGTGGCGGGAATACTAGTTAGTTTTTTTTATTTTTTCAAGTTTTTAATTAAAGGAAGAAAAGAAATCCCAATAGAAAACAACAAAGCGAGACTCAGTAGCTTAGGCCTTAGGAAGTGAACCCAACGGTCATGCCCGAGTCGTCACTGAGTCAATGCGCCTCAGGTTTCTGTTTACATCGTCACAAAACTCAAAGCCACGCTTCATTGTTCAATATTCAAGCTTCTCAAAGATTACCTCTGACTCGACCTCCTTAAAACCAGATCCCATTTACAATCATCTCTTACGAACTTGCGTCCAAGATGCAAACACATCAATACCCGCCACCTGTTCGACGAAAGGTCTCAGAGACTAACCCACGCTTTGAAACAAGCAGAATTGTCCATGCCCAGAGCCCTATTTTGGATTGGGGTCAAAGGGTTGCTAGGAAACGCATAGTTGATCTTTATGCCAAGTGTGGCAATGTAGACTTGGCTGAGAAGGTGTTTAATAGGCTTGAAGAGAGGGATATTTTGGCTTGGAACTCTATTTTGTCCATTTATTCGAACGTGGGTTGTTTGAACATGTTGTTAATCTTTTGGTTGTTGTGTAATTCTGGGTGTTTGCCAAATGAGTTCACATTGCGATGGTCTTATCTGCTTGTGCCAAAGCAGTGGATGTTAATTACGGTAGGCAAATACATTGTTATGTTGTTAAGATTGGGATTGAGATGAGTGCTTTTTCTGAGGGCGCTCTTATTGATATGTATGCTAATGTGGGTAATGTGAGAGATGCAAGGAGGGTTTTTGATGGGGCAGTGGATTTGGATACGTTTCGTGGACATCATGATTGCTGGGTATGTCAGGCTGGTTTGCCCGAAGCTGCGTTGGAAGTGTTTGATGAGATGAAGAAACTTGGCCGAGTTCCGGACCAGGTGGCTTCTGTGACTGTGATAATGCATGTGTTAGTCTAGGTCGGCTTGATGAAGCTGTGAATTGTTCGATCAATGCACCCCGAATGTTGTAGCTTGGAATGTGATGATATCTGGGCATGGCAAGAGAGGCTATGAGGCAGAAGCGGTCATTTTTTTCAAAGATGAGGAAGCTAGTGTTAAATCCTCACTACCACGTTAGGCGTGTATTGAGTGCCATTTCGTTTAGCAGCTCTTGACTTTGGCTTGATAGTTCATGCTGAGGCATTAAACAGGGTCTCGACTCTAATGTTTACGTAGGGAGTTCTTTGATAAATATGTATTCCAAGTGAGGAAAATGGAGTCCGCAAGAAGGTTTTTGATTCTTTGGATGAAAGGAATATTGTCTTGTGGAATGCTATGCTTGGAGGTTATTCACAGAATGGGTATGCCCATGAAGTGGTGGAACTGTTCTCCACCATGAAGAGCTCTGGTTTTCAGGCTGATGATTTACCTATACTAGCATTTTGAGTTCATGTGCTTGCCTGGACTATTTGGAAGCGGGTCGCCAGTTGCATACGGTCATTATCAAGAACAACTTTGCATCTAACTTATTTGTGGGGAATGCATTGGTTGACATGTATGCTAAGTCGTGCTCTGAAGAAGCAAGACAACAATTTGAGCTCATGGGAATCGGGATCTGTTTCTTGGAATGCAATTATTGTTGGATATGTGCAGGAAGGGATGAGTTTGCAAGGCTCTTATCATATTTTGTATGATACTAAAACCTTCAATTACTTTGCGAGTATCAAACTCATGAAAAGCTATTGCTTTGTGCTCGAAGTAGAAACAAACAACTGGCTATTGTGGTAAATGTGATTTAACATTATTGTATTAGTTGTGACTGTGATCGATAGACGTGTGATTCGTTTCATTTCCTGTTAATTTGGTTTTATTTTAATTATCTTGGTTTATAAGCTTTGACAGTTTCTTTTATATTTATCGATGTTATTTGCCAGGTCATTACATACCACAGCTGGCTGATGTTCTGCTGGACTATAATGCACGTTCAACTGGTTTCAAGTTCAATATCAAAGGAGTTGCTGTAAGAAAATCTGGCATTATAAATCTAATTTCTTTGTTTCTTGTCGTGCTGTTTGGTATCTTGTGGTTGTTTTTGTTCTCATTTGATCCTTTCATTTGACTTTGCTCTGATTAGATTGGAAATCCACTTCTCAAACTTGATCGTGATGCTCAAGCAACATATGAATTCTTTTGGTCTCACGGAATGATTTCTGATGAAGTTGGTCTTGCCATCATGAACAAATGTGATTTTGATGATTATGTCTTCGCTAGTCCTCACAATATGACTGACTCATGCAACAATGCCATCAGTGAAGCAAACGACATCGTTGGTGAATATATAAATAATTACGATGTGATCCTTGATGTTTGTTATCCATCTATAGTAGAGCAAGAACTGCGGTTGCGGAAAGTGGTATACTTTATTGTTCCTTGTACTCAGCATATTTTGTTCTTTATTCTCAAGATATTCATTACTTGAAACTTTATGAAGAAATGAACAATTTTCTTTCTTCTTATATGTACAGGCTACCAGGATAAGTGTTGGAGTTGATGTGTGTATGACCTATGAAAGAAGATTCTATTTCAACCTTCCTGAGGTTCAGAAGGCTCTTCATGCAAATCGAACTAAATTACCATATGGCTGGTCTATGTGCAGTAGGTTAGAAATTTGCACTTCTAGCAGACATCCTCATTCTGTACACATATTAAACATATAGAGTAACTATTGCTGCATCTCTGCGTGAGTTATGCCTTCAGCTAGCTTGAACTAGAAAGTTCTCTAACTCCTGTTAAAATAAACAATGTAAGGTCTGTCATACATAATTCTCTGTGGAAGTTATTTTTAGCACTTCTTTTGGTACTGACAGGTCCCCCTGTAGGATTACCGATCATCCTGTATGTCAAATTTTTAATACATGACTACTTGTTTTACTGATCATTGCAATTTCATGTTTTCGGCAGCGTTCTAAATTATAGTGACACTGATGGTAACATCGACATGCTTCCCCTGCTCAAAAGGATAGTTCAGAATGGGATACCTGTTTGGGTATTTAGGTAAGATCTAATTAGGTAGATTATACGATCTGCTAACCCCACCCTTTTCTGGTCCTCCTTCACTAAACATTGTTTGGTTGGTAATGATTATCTGATTGTTAAATTTGATAAACTATAGTGGTGACCAAGATTCTGTTGTACCTTTGCTGGGATCCCGGACACTCATCCGTGAACTAGCACATGATCTAAAGTTCGACGTTACAGTCCCATATGGAGCTTGGTTTCACAAAGGCCAGGTACTTGCCCTCCATCAATTTCATCATTTTCCCTTTATCTATTTCTTTCCGTGTTAACTTGCTCCTAAATATCTATTTTCTTGTTACAGGTGGGAGGTTGGGCAACCGAGTATGGAAATTTGTTGACTTTTGCCACAGTAAGGGGTGCTGCTCATATGGTACCCTATGCACAACCATCAAGAGCCTTACATCTTTTCAGTTCATTTGTGCGCGGTCGAAGACTGCCTAATAATACTCGTCCTTCGATAGATGATTAAGAAAAAATGTTTTACGAGTTGCTGCAATGTGTTAGGGTTTCAAGTTAGTTCATAATTCTAAAATTTCGTTACTCGAAAGATAAGAAAGTCATCGTGTTTTCAACAATTACGGATACCCGAAGGGACAAAAGAAGGCCTTTCAATTGTAGTTGAGGAGAGAGGAAATTAAATATAGGACTTTTCTTCATTTTCATTGATGATAGTTCTCACTTCTCAGTTGTATCTTCTTGAAATAGAAGAAGAACATGATTGACTTGATAACGAGTTCATTTCATGTAATGAATGGGAGGATGTTTGATTATTTAACAGGAATTATGTTAGCTGTATTTCCTGACATTGAAGTTTGTGGAATTGAAATGCAACAGAAATTTCATGCTCTTGTTAGACATGATCTTCCTGCACTTATTTATTTGATCAATTGTAAGCATTGAGCAGGAAGCTCTTTGATTCTTCCAACTTTTTGTTTTTTATTTGTTTCCGTCGATGATATGCTCTGCTTCTCGGTTTGGGGTTATCCACATTTGGTTTCTTTCTTAAGGAGTATCAAAGAGAATGTTCTATGTTATAAAATCCTAACCAAATATTTGTGTAATTGAACTTGTTTGGATTGAGAGAAAATGAGATAAAAATTTAGCGTGAATTTTGAAATTGAAAGTGTGAACAAATAATAGGGAATGCTTTACAATAGGAGGGGTGATTTTGAAAAACTCAAAAAAATATTTTTTATTTTTTAACTTCACATTTTTCTTGTTTTTCCTTCTTACCATAACTTTCTATTAAAGAAAACAAAAACTACTCTTGTTCCCCGCTTATCATAGGACTAACTACTTTTGGCGGGAATACTATGTTAGTTTTTTTTATTTTTTCAAGTTTTTAATTAAAGGAAGAAAAAGAAATCCCAAATAGAAAACAACAAAGCGAGACTCAGTAGCTTAGGCCTTAGGAAGTAGGAACCCAAGCGGGTCATGCCCGAGTCGTCACTGAGTCAATGCGCCTCAGGTTTCTGTTTACATCGTCACAAAACTCAAAGCCACGCTTCATTGTTCAATATTCAAGCTTCTCAAAGATTACCTCTGACTCGACCTCCTTGAAACCAGATCCCATTTACAATCATCTCTTACGAACTTGCGTCCAAGAATGCAAACACATCAATACCCGCCACCTGTTCGACGAAAGGTCTCAGAGACTAACCCACGCTTTGAAAACAAGCAGAATTGTCCATGCCCAGAGCCTCAAATTTGGATTTGGGTCAAAAGGGTTGCTAGGAAACGCTATAGTTGATCTTTATGCCAAGTGTGGCAATGTAGACTTGGCTGAGAAGGTGTTTAATAGGCTTGAAGAGAGGGATATTTTGGCTTGGAACTCTATTTTGTCCATTTATTCGAAACGTGGGTTGTTTGAACATGTTGTTAAATCTTTTGGGTTGTTGTGTAATTCTGGTGTGTTGCCAAATGAGTTCACATTTGCGATGGTCTTATCTGCTTGTGCCAAAGCAGTGGATGTTAATTACGGTAGGCAAATACATTGTTATGTTGTTAAGATTGGGATTGAGATGAGTGCTTTTTCTGAGGGCGCTCTTATTGATATGTATGCTAAGTGTGGTAATGTGAGAGATGCAAGGAGGGTTTTTGATGGGGCAGTGGATTTGGATACGGTTTCGTGGACATCAATGATTGCTGGGTATGTTCAGGCTGGTTTGCCCGAAGCTGCGTTGGAAGTGTTTGATGAGATGAAGAAACTTGGCCGAGTTCCGGACCAGGTGGCTTCTGTGACTGTGATAAATGCATGTGTTAGTCTAGGTCGGCTTGATGAAGCATGTGAATTGTTCGATCAGATGCAAAACCCGAATGTTGTAGCTTGGAATGTGATGATATCTGGGCATGGCAAGAGAGGCTATGAGGCAGAAGCGGTCAATTTTTTTCAAAGAATGAGGAAAGCTAGTGTTAAATCCTCACGATCCACGTTAGGCAGTGTATTGAGTGCCATTTCAGGTTTAGCAGCTCTTGACTTTGGCTTGATAGTTCATGCTGAGGCTATTAAACAGGGTCTCGACTCTAATGTTTATGTGGGGAGTTCTTTGATAAATATGTATTCCAAGTGTGAGAAAATGGAGTCCGCAAAGAAGGTTTTTGATTCTTTGGATGAAAGGAATATTGTCTTGTGGAATGCTATGCTTGGAGGTTATTCACAGAATGGGTATGCCCATGAAGTGGTGGAACTGTTCTCCACCATGAAGAGCTCTGGTTTTCAGGCTGATGATTTTACCTATACTAGCATTTTGAGTTCATGTGCTTGCCTGGACTATTTGGAAGCGGGTCGCCAGTTGCATACGGTCATTATCAAGAACAACTTTGCATCTAACTTATTTGTGGGGAATGCATTGGTTGACATGTATGCTAAGTCAGGTGCTCTGAAGGAAGCAAGACAACAATTTGAGCGCATAAGGAATCAGGATCATGTTTCTTGGAATGCAATTATTGTTGGATATGTGCAGGAAGGGGATGAGTTTGAGGCTTTTAATATGTTTCGCAGAATGAATTTATCTTGGATTTTGCCTGATGAAGTGTCCTTGGCCAGCATCCTCAGTGCCTGTGCCAATGTTCAAGGTCTCAAGCAAGGGAAACAGATACACTGTATGTCAGTCAAAGTTGGTCTAGAAACAAGTATTTATTCGGGAAGCTCGCTTATTGACATGTATGCCAAGTGTGGAGATATAGGGGCTGCTCGAAAAGTCCTCTCTTGTATGCCTGAACGGAATGTGGTCTCCATGAATGCTTTGGTTGCTGGTTATGCTCAAAATAATTTAGAGGAAGCCATTGTTTTGTATCAGGAGATGATGGCTGAAAGATTGACCCCAAATGAAATAACTTTTGCTAGTCTTCTAGATGCATGTGACGGACATCATACATTTAATCTGGGAACACAAATCCACTGTCTTATAGTAAAGAGAGGCCTTTTGTATGATGCTGACTTCTTGGGTGTCTCTCTATTGGGTATGTATATGAATTCCAAGAGAAATACAGATGCAAGTATTCTCTTCTCAGAGTTCAAAAATCCAAAAAGCAAAGTTTTATGGACTGCTATTATTTCAGGACACACTCAAAATGATTTCAATGAGGAGGCCTTGCATTTCTATCAGGAAATGCGTAGCCACAATGTCATACCTGATCAGGCTACATTTGTCAGTGTCCTTAGAGCATGTGCTATCTTATCTTCTTTGAGAGATGGTACAGAGATCCATTCTCTAATATTTCACATTGGTTATGATTTAGATGAGTTAACATGTGGTGCAATTGTAGACATGTATGCTAAATGTGGAGATGTGAAAAGTGCAGTTCAAGTTTTTGGTGAAATGGGGAACAAAAATTTTGTTATTTCCTGGAACTCAATGATAGTTGGATTTGCAAAAAATGGTCATGCAGAAGATGCACTAAAGATCTTTGATGAGATGAAGCAAACTCATGTTATGCCTGATGATGTCACATTCCTTGGTGTCCTAACAGCATGCAGCCATGCAGGTAAGGTATCCGAAGGTCGACAGATCTTTGACATTATGGTAAACTGCTACGGGATTCACCCTAGAGTAGATCATTGTGCCTGCATNAGGTGGGCTGACGTTGTAGTTGTAGTTGAAGTTGAACTAATGAACTCAAAACTAACGGAGAGGAGTTTAGTTTATAGTTGAAAAGAGCTGGAGTTTTGTCTTGTAAGAGAATCCGAAAGTTCTCGGGCATAGCTTTTTACTTTGCACGATTCTGATTTGTAATATATTAATATTTATTTATATATTATTCACATTAATACAAAAAATTAAAATATTATCTCTAATATTTAATTCATCGTTCTTAGAGTATAAACTATAAACCCCTGATTATCATTTACTTCCAAACTTATTAAGGGTTATTATTAGATATTTTTCATGTGCTTAATTAATTTTAAAAGCATTTATGATTATAGAAAATAATCAAATATTAAGAGCATCTAATAGAAAGATTTTTAACACTTTTACAAAAATATTTTTGACAATTATAAGAGATGTTATTTTAAAGTTTAAACTATCATGCGTAACAAACACGCGCTTTCTTATTGATCCAGATCACAGACCTCCCATGCGCGCATGACGTTATTTGAGAGCGTACAACAGCTAGATTTTGATGAAGATATTGTGCGTCAGAAATCGGACGGTTGAGATTGCACGAAGTACCACAGTAACAAGTGAGGCGTACCACAGGGAGCGCAGTGGCTGAGTCGCTTAAGCGTACAGGCTTTTTCTTTAATCTTTTTGGTGTTTGTGTTGTTCTTATACCGGGCTGAGTTAATGCAGTGTTAGGACACGATCTACGAGGAGAATAGCAGAGCGGAGCTGACGTGGCATGTCCGGATTCAACGGTCATATTGTGAACATGGCTTGGAATTGTTTATTGTTGTTTGTGTTTGTTTGTTTGGGGTTTTCTTTTTTCTTATTTGGGACAGGGCAAAGCGTAGCCCCTCCCTCACGAGGGATAAGATTACACCCATTTAGTGTAATTCATGTGGTGTTTGGATGCCTTGGGAAAGATACCATTGCCAGCCCACTAAAGGAAAGTTGTTATTAAAATGTAATGCAATTTGTACTATTTAGTAGGGACGAAGGATTTATATGGGATTTTTTAAACTATATATTAAAAAAAAAAAAAATTGAAAGTTAATGGACACTTTTGAAGTAAGAATAGCACTGGGGCGCTAGGGTAATGATAAATTGAAATTTGAAAATATAAAGTTAAATCATCTAAGGAAAAGCAGGTAAGTTTGAAAATATACCACCAAAAGTCTGCAATTGGGGATAAATTTTGGCAGGACATCTTATTTAATATTGTCGAGTTGGATTTGGTGCAATTAATCAATATGAGTAAACTGAATAAAATATAACATTATTAGTGTGTGTTCAAATAAAGATGCTATAACCTTATTCTGCAAAGTCTTGACAAGAGTAGCAAGTGTGGTCTATGGAGAGCATACAAAGTTGTGTGGTTTCGCAAAACATCATGTGGGGTGTGATAATTGAGACTTTAGGTGTGTTTTCTCTTAGCACATTGACAATGCTTAATAAGACTCTTTAGGAGGGAGGTGGAGAGAGGTGTTCCATGAAAGGAGAGTGCATGAACTGATAAAAGTTATTCATAGTTGACAATGAAGAAGGGATTAGGCCATCCATACACAAATTAGTCGAGAATTAGAGTCATTCTCCTAATGAGTTCATAGCAGGATGAAACCAATGAACCTCGAGTGGATTAGTGGCGTATGTGCAAGCTTAACCTGCTCAAGTGTGATGTTGGGGTCTCGCATGGGTTGTTTCGCTGTGTCGAAACTCTAGGCCTGTGACACAAACAAAGAGTCTATTAAAAATAAATAAATAAGTTACTAATGTAACCAAAAAAAAATTGCATATTACAGTTTCACCATTATTTAAATAAAAGAGGGTGTTAAAAAAATGTGGGTTTATTTAGCTTGACTTCCATACTTCTCCATCAAATTGTTATAATCCGGTTTCCAACGGTCTAGCCCTTTAAATTGGAATTGGCCCATGCTATAATCAAAATGAATGTATTTATTGGCACCCACTACCGACTAAAGAAACCCTACTTTTTAATAAATTTTATAATGATAAATTAATCCCCAAATTATATTATTAAAATTAATTTTAATTTCTAATCTTAACAAATATTTTTGACACCTCACTATTATCTCATAAACCCTAATTTTTTTATGCTATTTAAATCATTATTAGAATAAAAAGATAATTTAATGGAGGAAGAAATTTGTAATATGATACGTCAAATCACAAGCATACAAAATTGCAAGTTTTTAATTGTTTCAGGTATAAATTTGTTATTTTTTTCTTCAAAGTATTGATAGCTATTTTAATATATATATTGGATTATTTGAAAGGATTATTTTAGTTTTAAAGTTTTAAGAACTTCCAATTTATCTAAAATTTTATTTTAAGAATAACAATGATTAGGGTATACAGCTTAAGTGACCAGAATAAAATGTTAACTCTTTTAAAATATTAAAAAAATGAAGGATATTTATGAAATTTACGGGATGTTATAAGAAAAAAAATTTAATTTTAAAAACAATAGAAATAGAGTGTCCCAATAAATGAGGCTTTATTAGTCCATTAGTATTAGTAGTAGTAGAGTGCAAATAGCAGTATAGCACCACCCATTCAAAATTTAATAGCCCAACATTAATTTATAAGACAATAATGTTACGGACACCGATTTTTTATACCGAATTTTTGTATCGAAGAACATGACATTCAGTCAAACGCGACCACATTGGAGACAAAACACATCTTTCATAAATAAACGATTATCCAACAATTCTAGACGCCAGTCCATATTTAATGGACGATTGTTTATCACAAATGGACGACCGTCCATCAATTGGGACGAATTTTTATACCAAAATAACAATGGACAGGAGTCTATTTCCTATGGAGGGGCGTCCAACTCGAATGGACGCCCGTCCATAATTTAAATTATAAAAAAAAAAAATAGAGCGTCCATTTTCAATGAGAACAAAACTTGTCAAATATTTATTTAAAATGAGTGGGTAACTTGAATGCTCTTGCTATGCCCACTACACTTAAAAAAAATGATTAGAAAATAAACACATTGCTGTGACTCCCAAACAATGGATGCCCGTCCAAAGTCAAGCCTTTTTGTCCATAATCAACCAACATTGAAGGTGGGGCATCAAATGTGCTCCTGCTATGCCCACTACACTTAAAAAAAAAAATGCTTAGAAAATAAAACTCCCAAAAAATGGACGCCCATCCAGAGTCAAAGGCTTGGCCTTCCATTAAAAATGATAGATGGTGAATTGGTGATGGACAGGTATCCATGTTATAGATGGTGAATTGGTGATGGATGCCTGTCCATAAAAGATGCCCGTCCATATTATATGGATGGGCATCCATTATTTTATTTCTAAAATTTTATAGACAGGCGTCCATATGAGGTGAATGCTCGTCCATAGTAGATGGACTCTCGTCCAAATAATATGGACGAGAGTCCATTGTTATTTTCGTGGATGCTTGTCCATTTGTGATGAACGGTCGTTCATCAAATATGAACGGGTGTCCATAATTGTTGGATGACCGTTCATTTACAAAAGACAAGTGTTGTCTCCAATGTGGCTGTGTCTAATTGGATGTCACGTACGCCGATGCAAATCATCAGTGTCCGTAGCATTATTCTTTATAAAATCTATGTCGTGCCCCAATCATGCATGAACACCAAGGAGACCCTAGCTCAAAATCACTTTTGCACTTTCATCCTTTTAATGTTTGGAGTACATTGCACCTATCTCCAATACTATAAAATACAAACAATTTAGTCCATTTAGGTGAGACTTTTCAATAAAAAGTCTATAATCTTGTTGTCTTGTTCATATATTATTATAAATAAATAAAAGATAAAAAATAGTATAATGGATGCCTTAAATTTTTTATGTTGTTCACTCGGGTTTTAGTTTTGATGAATTTTTGCATTTATAATTGTGATGAGTAATACTTAGATGATGTTTATATTTCCATAATTGTGAAATTAAACAAGTTATTATAATGTGCTAACAAAATATTATATTTGGATATCAATCATTACTTTTATGAAAATTTGAATTTTCTTTTTAAGTGTAAAGTATATTTTTTGCTTTTTTTTTTTTTTTAATTATATATATATATATATTATATATATATATATATAATATCTATATATATTATATCTATAATATATATATATATATTACTTCCTAATAATATGTGAATAAGATAACATAAGTATAATAGACATTTCATTGAAAATTCTCACTTAATTAGACTAAATTGCACGTATCTCATAATACTTGATGTAAATAAATGCACTCCTAAACTTAAAGATGAAAGCATGGTTGTTAGTATCCTACGATACCCGATACGTATCATACGATACGATTCAATACAGATTGCTAACGATACGTATCAGAGGGTGTATCCTAAACCATTCGATACGTTGATATGTATCCTACGATACGATACGTATCCGTTCGTATCCTTAAAAATATCGATATAAATCGATACGATTTTATTAATTTGGGTCAAATGTCCAAAAAAAAATTCGGGTCGAAATCGGGTCACCCAACCCAATTCACTAAAACTTGTCTAAATTTACCTATTTTGCATGGAGAAAGTAAAGAGGAATATGTATTGCCCATTTTACATGATAATAATAATATAAGTGGAGATATAGATATTGACATTGATCTTGGAATTTTGTGATTAATTTTGATTATATAATACCGTAATTTAAAGTCAATAATACCACAAAATTCTTTAATTAATCTTGGGGATTATATTAATTTTTAGAAAATTTTGATTATTTTTTTTTTTTTTTGAAAAAGACGTATCTTACGATATGATACGATACGCGATACACGATTCAAAAAATTAGGCTTTCGATACACGATACGATACACGATTTGATAACCATGGATGAAAGTGTAAATCATCCTCACAATATTTTATCTTTATTTTTGCCGAATTTTACAATAAAAACCTCCATAATTTCTTTAAAAAATTTCCCATTCATGTATATTAACTAATAAAGGGATCTCGACGAAATTCGTAACGTTATATTTTATTAATATTAGGTTGCATTTGGT